AATTGGGAAGTATGCAGATACAAATAAATTTTTCAAGAATTACCCTAGCTTATGTGGATTATAGTTCTAGTTAACTTGGGTCAGAAGTAAAAAGCATTAATATATGCACTTTGTAGGAACACAATGATGAAAATTTGAACCTTCAAGATAATCCTGGTTCAGAAAGAAAAGCATCAATAAATGCATTCGTAAAAACACATCCCAGTCTAAACTTAAACTGAAAGGTAGAAAACATTAATAAACGAAATTTGCAAGAATACTAGTTGACTTTTCTGAATATTGATGTTAGTACATAATCTATTTAGTACGAACACCACCCGACTTATGCAGATTATAGTTCAGCAAGCATCATTAATTTTAATGGTTTGAATCTTCAAGATAGTAATCGCAGATCAAGAAAATACTCTGAAAGGCTCAAATCTTTGATATAATGATCTTAAATTAGGAGGTAAAAAAGTATAACAGATCTGCTTTGCAAGAGCACACCACCTGACTAAGCTTGGTTTATAAGATGAAAAACATTATCAAATAAATTTGCAAAAACACCATTAGCGCAGATAAACTTAAAAAAATACCTTGAATCTTTGATATAACAAACTTGGTTAAAAGGCAAATATACCTAGCAGATAAAAACAAAACATTACGCTAAAATTTTGGTACGTTGTGAAACGGTGAATTGTGGCTTGAAATCGACTTTTCTTATCGGGAATCGGATGCATATAAATTTGGCGGATTGACTTATTATAGGCTAAAATCGTCGCTGAGGTGGCTCAGGTCAAATCTTCTGGTAATCTGTCAGATATGTCAGATCCGTCAGATATGTCAGATCTGTCAGATATGTTGGATCTGTTATATAGGTTATATCTATTAGATATGTTATATATGTTATATCTGTTAGATATGTTACTGTATATATGTTAGATATGTTAGATAGAATTAGCGAATTAGATAATAAGTAGCTGTGCAACATTGTCGCGCTAAACCAGGAACGGACGACAACTCCAATACAGATTAGTTATATAAGTTATAGTTTTGAATTCCGATAAATAAATATCGGGTATAAACTAAATATTGATATGAGACACTAATTTAAACAAACAAAAAATTTCATTAGATTTTTAGATGTAAAATACCTCCTTAAAAACATATTATAACAATTCACTACAATTTTCGAATGTTAACCTTAATACCTAAATAATACATAACGCCGAAACAGATATTAATATACCGTATGGATCCGTTCATAATAATCTGCATTTATTTAGAAATGATCTTGGCAAATGATATTTATAGACTACGTAACACAAGTTGAACCAATGAATATCGGGTGCATGCCGGGAGACAAGTTTCCTGATATGTACCTAATAGTCTGCCATAGATCCGCTGAACATCAACAGCATATCGGCAGCATATTAGTAAGTTATCCGGCAAACTCATATGATCATGAAAAAATTTCTTTCTGTTATTTTTTTCATGTGTTACGATATAATTATGTTATTCCAATATTCAAAAAATAAAACTCAGCGAGCGACTCCCTACCAATCATGATCATAAATTGCCGGATAACACCAATATTGGGCAAATTGTCGAATACGGTAATTTGACAAATGATTGGCTACACGTGCCGCAAAGCGGCACGTGCTCATTTGCCAAACTACCGTTATTCGACAATTTTTGCCCAATATTGTATACATATCGGGAGGCAGATCGATATCAGTAACATAACAGCACAATATTGGGATACCCAGATATCTTATTCTTAGCACTCTGGGCCTAAAGTAAGATATCGGGATATCCCAATATGTATTTTGCTGTTATCTTGCGGATATCGATCTACCTCCTGATATCTTACCAATATGCTGCCAAGATATTTGGCGGATCTATGGCAGTCTATCGGATACATATCAGGAAACTTGTCATACGGTATTGCACCCGATATTCGTTGATTCAACCCGTGTAACGTGGATAAGAAGTTAAATGAGATGTGAACAACTCATATTAAAAACTTATATCAATTAGCCAATTAATAATCGATGGTTATTGAGATCATTCATAAGTATTACGATTAATTGAAACGATCCCTACTGTAAATTTACTGAAGTGTATTACAAAAAAAAGATGGCTTCGAACTTTTCTTTTTTTTATCGCGACAATAAACCTACTTACTGGTTAAAATACTTTCCACCAATTAAAAATTGAGTTCCGCCCTATAATTTATGTGCTTGAGAGAACCTTAAATTATATGAATAAAAAATTGAAGCGAGAAATTAATTAATATATATACAGTATTGATTGATAATGTTCAATTGATTAACCCTATAAGAAAAATGGTTCGGATCGGTACGGGTTGGTTTCGGATAGGCACGGGCCTTTGTGGCACGGGTCAAGAT